TCGATGTCGTTTCTTGTTTCATTGGTTCATTAGGAATAATGCTTTGTTTCGTTTCGTTTCATCTGTTGTTGTTATTAGATGTTATCCAATCATCGTACTGTTAACTGTTAGTGCTTCTTCGATCAGATCAGATCATCTGTCTTTTCCACTTCAGATCATTGTTTTGTTTTATTGTTCGTAAAAATTTTTCTTCGTCATCATCATTTTCCTTCTAAAAACTTCGCTTTACGCCTGTATCTCTAATACCTCGTACTGCGTTCTTATGAAACGTGTCAATTTGCCGGTATAAATAAATGTATATAAATTTTATTGGCTCTTAATGCATCCGATAATCGAGAAACGCATAAATTATAAGCGAATAGGATAAGATTATGGAAGGCAATGACTTTCGATGAGGTAGATGAGAGCAGAGTTGTGATCGATCATGCAAGCTACAAGCAATAAAAGATGATACTTCTCGTTAGATGTGAGCAGGTAAATAGCCGCGCTAATTTCATTACAAAGCGCTGAGCGGAATCATTTTCATGCATATTTGGGTTTGGAAATGTATTGAAACTTTATGATCATATGCATTCAAGCAGAAGAGTGCATTCAGAGAGGTAATTGAAGCATGAATCACTTAACATTCATCCATCTCTTCAATTAATTAATATTTTTCTTGAATGATGATCAACAGTAAACAAAACATGATCTATGGTTTGATCACTAAATAAAATGGTGATCTCTGATTCGTTGATTGCAGATATAACGCACTTATTCTTTTCATTTGTAATCGCAGTGCATTACTCTCAGTATCGTTCCACATCTACTTACTTCCTGGTACTTCAGCAACCTCTTGTTGACATGTTAAAGAATATTCCACACATCTACAGAAATCGTCATCACTCCGTTTCAATTTAATCTCCACCGTTCATTAAAGAATCTCAAGGGAAAGGCAATGTTGACAGCACCGTGCAATGAAATTTTTATCGAGGNGCCATACAGGTTATTCGATTTCAAGAGGGGTGATTGATTGATTGATTGATGGATTGAATGATTTGAGTGTTTTTTAATGCACAGCACAACCAAACATCACACTTCGGACATCGTTACACTTGAACTTCATATGAAACAAACACTCAATTAAGCATCAAAACTCTTTCCTCACGTAAAACTACAATTTCAGCGATCATTATTGGTGTTTATGAACAGCAACCAACCGTAAACTGAGATGCAGGCAGTGTATTTGATTAATTTCTATTCCATTCACACGAAATTCATCGTTCGTCAATAGCACTCAATCAAATTTGTCGTCGTTTTCTTTTCAGTTCCTTGCTGTTACAATTCAAAAGGAAATTTTTCACAATGATCATTGCTCAATTCGATAGTTCTTCAACCAATATGTGTTCGTATTGAACAATTTAATAAAAAAGAAACTGAGGAAGAAACGCACAATATTCGCAACTTTCATGAACATTTGTAATGTAATGATCGTGCCTTGGACGGAAAGCCAGAAAAACAAACTGATGGAACACAATGCACGTTATGAGGCGATCGAACCAGCTGAAAGATTAGCTGCCTGCTTAAGATTACAGATAAATGTCGGCAGTGTTCAAAAATGTGCTCGACATCTGCATGTGACGAGACCAAAAGAGTTCATATGTAAAAAATTCATTGGTGTTTACGCATATTGTTCAGTTTCAGTGCACAGCAGCAATTTGAGCTGTTCCACGAACAGAATGAGCATTTGGTTTATATTTAGCTCTATTGAGCGGTCGTCGTGTTAAGCGCATCATTCGGTGTTTATATACTGATCCAACAAAAAATCCACTCTATCGTTAGCGTTTTCACTTGCATTGCTGAATTTAGGTGAGTGAGATAGTATCTGAATTGAACTTTTCATGTTCTCAGATTTGCATGGATGTGAAGAAATATTATTGTATACTTTGAAAGTACACTATCACTGTACTCAAATAAAATGATCCTTTTAAAAATTCCAAGAGTGTTCTTAATGCGATTAGACTAAGACAGATTCATATGGCTTTATAGATTTGTTTTCAAGCGAAACTTCTGCAAAATGACTGAACCTTAGTTTTGTTCTAAAACCTTGTAGAAGCCAGGATTTTTGAAGTAGTGGCTGAAGCATTTTGTAAGATGGCTGATGTCTGATGCTTTGGACGGGATCTTGAAATATTTCTGTAAAGTGCAGTGATTAATTTATTTGCAGAAAAAAAGATGATCAATGCGTGGTTTTTGAATGAACATTTTATAACTGTAATTATAAGTGCAATTCAAACGCTTGTAAGTTCATCTGCATTAATCTATCCGCCGAAAAAAGAATGCTTTCTGGTGTTCAAAACAGATACGCAGAAACTAATAACGTTCACAGGGAAGGATAAAATTTTTGCTAGTTTCATCATGAAACCAAGAATACAATATATCTGTAATAGTTTGATCTGCAGGATACAATATCTCTATTTGCATAGCAATGAGCATTTGAACTTAGGACAAGATATCACCGAACATATGAGCTCGTTAAGTCTTGAAATTGATTATATGAATGATCAGAGCCAGAAGACATTGTTGTGTTAGCACATTGTGCACAATAGCAATGATATCAGTGACATTACAGTTATCGTTAACATTGATAACATGGTCGTTTCAATGTGCCAAAAAGAAACAACCACCACCAGCGACTGTGAATACAGTGGAAGCACAAAGTGTAAGTTTGTTGTGAATTTACTGCCGAAACTGATCAGCATCAAGCGAAACTGTGCGTTCGAAATGTGTGCTCAAAAGCTGCGATTCAGCATGAGCACAACGTTTGAGTCATATAACTAATTGTTTGAGTGATTTTTCTAAAAACAGAGCGAGAGGTGCGATGTTCATGAGAATGCTTTGATCTATACTGAGCAGGATTTTTGTTTATTGAGCTTTTTGAATATTATTGGGAATGAATTTTAACAGGGATGAAAACAGGTAGGGTAATATTGCTGGAAAGCATACTGAGTGGTGTTAAATTTAACCGAAACCGGAACGACTAGAGAAGTAGATGGCCAATTACAGGCAAATACCGTAAGTCCAGCAAATATGCCCACAACATCAACCGAAGGAAAAAGTGATGCGAAAAATCAAGACGAAAAGAAAGAGGGAAATGCTGAGAAGGAGAAGGAAAAAGAGAAGAAGCAATCGAAGAAGGAGTCGAAGGAGGAGGAGAAGAAGGAGGAGAAAGGCGATCAGAAGAACGACGAGAAAAGCGATGTGAAGAAAGATTCGAAGGATGAAAAAAATGATCAAAAGGAATCATCAAATCCTGATGAAAGTCGGTGAAGGAACATTTTTGTGGGCAATGAATTAGCGTGCCCCTGACCGTTTCATATTATCTGCGAAAATTCAAATAATCTCATTTAAAAAATCTCAGACCTGTTGGGTCCGTATGTGACTAGGGACGAAAATCCAGAATAACTGCTTTCTGGAGTAGTTACTAGCAAAAGAAATTCGAAAATGTTTACGACTTTTTAAGACTCATTAATGTAACCTATTATATTTGAAATATTCCGCAGTTCTTAAGTAAAGATCAGAGAAGTGGAACCCAATATCTTTCCTTAAAAATCCGATTTACAATTCGAAAAATTCGCTCCTGCGCCCATCTCAAATCGATTCGATCGCTGCCAGTTATACTTTAGAATTAGACTGTATATGCCCTTGTAATTCTACAGAGAAATCAGCTGAAGAAAAAGAGGCCGCTAAACAAAAAGAAGCAAATTTGAAGCCAAAAATAATGGCAAGAAACGCTAAAGAGGTACATACCTACTTATTAACGCTTATAACACTTTATCCCAAATCATGCTCGACTGGATGCATATAACAACTACCTCACTTACATTCCAGTCGTTGAATTAATCAAACACCCGATCAAATGATTCACGAATGGTAATTCTAAAAGAAGATAAAGCGTTTTTCATCATAGACGGAAATATTTTGTTGTTAAGAGTGAATGTTCCATTTAATCTTGAACCTATTTGATCATTTCCTCAGCAATGAGTATTATAAATAACCTAATTGTAAGCAACATCAAAATCACACACTGTTCATGTTTCGTCAAGCAAAATGCATTCTTTAACTAATCTTTTGATACTTACACGAAAATATTCCATGTTTATGTTTTCCTCATAATGCTTCAGCATTTTGATGTGCCATCGTTGAGAAACGCTTTTACCAAATAATCCGATCCGAAACTGCAAATGATCGTAACACATCAAATGAGCGATTATATCTGCAGGTGCTATTAGTTAGCACTAAGCAATAACTAGTTTCGATTCTACAGAAAGGAATGTGTGTTCTTTTTGCAGCCAAAGATCGTGATCATCCTCGGATTGTAGAGTGTAATCTTAGAATAATGTTAACGATAAGATGAGAGAAGAGTAAAGCGCATAGAGATGATTGAATGGCCACTTCGCTGGAGGCATTCAACTGCATAGCCTCAGAATGATTTGTAGGTAGACATCCTGCGATAGGTCATATCCCTTTGGCCATTGTTTCACACCAATGCAACAAATGGATTGCTCGTAAAAAAACGTCAAATGTTTCTTCAAGGAACGAATTGCGAAAGGAAAAGAAATGAGGGGCAAAGGTGACTACCCAACTATGGACGATGTGCTTAGCGATTGGGATTCTGATAAAGAGAAAAAGGTTTTGCTTCCAAAAACCAACCAGTTTTCATTGAAAAAATTTATTCGGTACAAATAGAAACCTTCAAGTTTTCATAAGATCGTTAAGAATCAAATTGACTCTTATAACACTTTATCCCAAATCATGCTCGACTGGATGCATTTAACAACTACCTCACTTACATTCCAGTCGTTGAATTAATCAAACGCCCGATCAAATGATTCAAAAATGGTAATCCTAAAAGAAGATAAAATGTTTCTCATCATAGACGGAAATATTTTGCTGTTAAGAGTGAATGTTCCATTTAATCTTGAACCTACTCTCCACAAGTGAAAACATCTCAATGTATCATTCAAACGCTTACAAACTTTGATAGAACACGAATGTGAGTGTTGTACATTTCAGGAAAGTAAAGATGATGATGCTGATAAATCAAAGTTAAAAACGAATCTTGACGAAGCACCAGATAAGGTATGAACAACCTTGACATGCACTCATTATTCACGGAATTCCCGCATTTTTCTTATCGTATCACTGATCGACAGTTGATCACTTTCAGTTTGATATGGAAATTTTGAGTGGTGCAATACCACGTGTTAAAACAGCGAGCAATTCGATAAGGATAGTGCTGACAAAATTGACCTTTATTAGCTGACATTAATTTGAATTTTTTACAAAATGAAATTTTATACGGAAAGTAACCGATAATCATGTGCATTCGGAAACTTATTGCAGACAGACGATGGAGGTACAGCTAAATAAGAACAATTCAAACTAGAAGATCAATCGACAGCTGAAGATCGATCAGTTTTGATCTAAATTGTACATAACCACTTAATGATTAAGTATTAGCTGATTGGCATTTGTAGACCGAATGTTGCAGATTTTAATAATCCAACCAACTAACTGTACTTTGCGACATTGGTTAAATTTTAGTGGATAGGATAAATTTAACTAGTAAATAAATAAATCTCATCTCATAAATCTCATTAACTTGTAAATAAATCTCATCTGATGTTCGATCTGCACTACGATCTTCTCTATCCATTCTACTGCAGAATTTCATAGTTGATAATCCTGCAAGTTCACCACTGCATCCATCCGACATCAATCTAATAGTGTACATTTTAAATTTATTTTTCTAAACTACTGAATTTAAGAATAGATAAACATAATTTAAAGTTTAAAGTATATTTTAATAATAATTTAAAGTATATTACACTGAAAGTGGATTAATCTTCTGAGCAGATGAACATCAGTGTGAGGGTAGTTCTTGAAGCAAAACAAATTGCTGTTTTCATCAACGAGGTGGATATCTGACCGACGAAGTACATGTAGGTAATTCGCCTAAATAAAAATAAAATTGCAACGAAAAGCTAAACTAGAGAAGCATTTTCGAAACTGAATTGATGATTAATTGATGCATAAAAACTTGCCCACATTTATAAATTTAATTCAAATTATACAACACAAATCATATGCATGAACAAAATGTTGAAATTATATCGCAACAAACAACACAACTTCAATATACAATCTAATTATGATGTTGAACGCATCAAATATTAAGCTATAAAAATAGAGCCAACAAATATGCATAAAGAACAAAAACAATTGATTCTAAACAGATGGGATAGTTTTTTTCACAACGATGGATGTTCGTAGATTGAAAAGAGTAATATTACTGAGACTGATCAATCTGGACATTATGCTTGCTATCACTGGTCCTGTTATAAGTACAAGTTACAGTTAATGTATTCGAAAGTTTAAAAGCAGTAAGGAAATGCGCATCAACGCAAGTCTAGATCCAGCAGATAGAATAGATTCTCCGCTTCCAGAAAACAACGCGTATTGTCGAATGATTTTGCTTACTTACAGAAATATGCCTGGATATCTTGCATCATCTTCTCAACAGGGACTATATTTGGCTATATAATAGATCTGCAAAAAAAACTATATCTAGCCTTGAAACTGCATCGGAATGCCTAGAAATCTGGCACAGCCATTCCAATATTCTGCCAAACTCTGTGCATTTGATCTATAAAGTGATCAAGAACACACTAGTGTAGGAATATTACGAGTTTAATGATTAAGCTACACTGGTTCTGAGCTTTTTCCGACAACATGATGGTTTCTTGCCAGAATTGGATAGAAGAGATTCTCCGCTATCGGAATACTATGTGTGTTGTCCAAGGACTATTTGTGTTGTCCAAAAATTCTCTATGATCACTAAGTACACGTGTTGTCGAAGCATTGTACTAACTTTCAAAGATATATGACTGAGCCTGTGAAAGTATATCGTATGGACAAGTGATTCCAGCATACTGCGAAACTTCTGGAGTCTAGAATTAGGCCATCACGAGCGATTTTAAAGCTGATTTTTAGGTGGTGGAGATGCTTTTTCGGATGATTTCACACGGCCGGATGCGGTTGATGAATCCATTCGTTTCTCTGAATTGCTATTAGTGCTTGGTTTATGGATCGGTGTGAGTGGTTTCGTTTCAGCGCCCCTAGGCGCCGCGTCCGGAACAACCGCCTGAGCCCCGTCGTCTCGTTCGAAAGCACACAAAACTCGGCATACACCGTCTGGTTTTGTTACGTGAGACCATATTTGACGAGGTGGTGCTTTCTGAAAGCAACTAACATTACACATGATTTCTAAAATGATAAAGGTGCCTCAAATGCATGAAACAAACATAACACGGTCCCAATTGTTCGTTAGAGTGGGTAGCCATTTTTCACAGGGACTGACTTGAAAAGGCGATTTCATTTCGGTATGAATTATTCTCACTTGTTCTGTTGGAAAACGAAACGGAAGATGTGGTTTATTAGAGGATTACGAGAAACTTAACTGTGAACATCGGATAGGTTTTGCACAATAGAATTTGCCCAGTCACTTAAACGATATTCTCATCTGCTCACTGCAATTAACAAACCTCATTCGTTGCAATGTGATAGAAGACGAAAAAATGCTTTCCAGTTTGCGGTACTTGCTTACTGAAGAAGGTGATTCGAATTGGTATCGTCTCACCACCGTTCAAGAAACCCAACGGTGGTCGAACACGAAAGATTTCCACTGAAGTGCATTTGATCTATAACAGAAATTCGTACAATAACTTGATCAAGTGAAATTGCTCGAATGTGAATGAACGGAAAATAAATGATTCCAAATCATTTTGTTATTTGAATGAAGCTGAAATTCTCTCCAAATCCCTACTGGTACTATGGGTTTGCTAATAACTTTTAAATCATTTAGCCGTGATGACTAAAAATGGAAACTTTAATTCGATGCATTCCTTAAAAACTAGAAGTAGTCATTTGAAACAAGTGGATTATTACTAAATCTCATCATGGCTGCTGCTTGAATATCTCAGGATATTGATCACCTGAATATCATAAATAATAGTACTGTGACAGCTAATATAGATCAAAGTGTGACGCATTTATAAGAGAATCGAAATGTTTTTCTCATTCTAAGCGCACATTCTAAGCACTAATCAACCTTGAAGCATTGGCGATGCTGTGTCAGGTTTATCATTTGCATTTCAACGGTTGTTGCCACCTCACTCAATCGCTCTCCTCGAAAGACTATCCGATCCGGTATGAGTCGCAGTTGAAAGTAAGGTTCACCCGGTCGATTCGGTAAAAATGCACACGGTTCACCGATGGATCTTTGCGACGATGCCATCAGCACATCAGAGCGCCTTTCACGGTCGACAACGGTTCACAGGAATATTTCTTTCGCAGGGAGTACGGAGAAGCGCGATCAATGGAATACGATTCCGGCAAATTGCTCGTAATCGGTCAAATGCGATCGAGCAGCTTCTGCCCTGGCACACTTCCGTTAACACTGATGAATAACCAACCAAATGAATATTATCCAAAATCAGTTTTCATCATCAATAAATAAAATTTCGTGAAAATGCATAATGATTCTTGTAATACTGTTCAGTAACAAAAATTTGACTACTGTAATTACTCAAGTTTACGCAATCAGTAGTCAGAGTACAAATTTGTTACCTTCGTCATTCTAAAATCTCCATAAATTTATTGTATCCTCATTCTTTCGTGTTTTTCTCCTTTCATCGCTAATGATTGTCGTTTGAACAGTTTCCGAAATCGCAATCCCCAAAGTCTTGCTAGATGCACCAATCTACTCAGTCACATCACATGTATTACTGAAATTATCATGTGAAGCTGTATTATCTCATATCTCACTATTAAGATTCACAGTTGTTCGTTCACGAACCAGATTCCTGCTTTCTGCTGGTGATTGCCTTAATGACCGTACTGATTCTTGGCTATCTGTGAGAATTTTGATGGCGCTGAAGAGCAAATTTCGAACAGTTTTGCATGATCAAGTGCAACCGATGAATGACGTGCACACATACATTCGACGACTTCGAACAATATTTATTAGGTAACGTGAATTCTAATTTCAAAACTAACTCATCTTAATAACGTAATATCAAAACAAAAACAAACATAACTATAGAATGTTTATATAGAAATGGTTAAACATGATCGAGATTAGTAGAGAAACAATACATAAATGACAGTCAAATTCGAAAACTGTACAATCAAAAACCAAAACCACGATAACAATCAAATTTAGCAATTGAACGAAATACTTCATAAATACGATAAACGCTCCAGAACAATGAATCTAATGTGTCTAGAAAACAATCGCTCATAAAATACAAATTCACATAATTTGTAACGCTTAAACACAATGAATCTGTCAGAAACGATGCAAAGTAGTCATCAATGCGCGATAATAATTATAATCGATGCAAAACTACAAATAACACAACTGCAAAAATATGCTTGTTAGCAACATTGGTCGTTTTTGAAACTTATTAAAACAGCAATTCACAACATTACCGTCCGTGTTCAGCTTGCTCCATGAACACGATAATTTGTTAGAGCAATTTGTTACAATACGAACCACGAATAAAGTGGATAGACAGAATAAA